CAATAGATCCACTGTCAACTTGTTGCCGTTCCTGCATTCCGTGAACTTGTTTCACTTAAAACACTTCATACAATGGGGAGCGATGCTGGCAGTCCTGCTACAGTGTATTCTAGTTGTTCTGGCTCACATTAGTTACTACTAATCTCTTTTACTGGGCCTGCTTAGCCATAAGTGTCATCAGAGGAGAACACAGTATTTGTAAAGTTCAGTGCTCTGTGGTTTCAAGAAACCAGGTGTCCTGGCTGTGTTTCTTGTGGGTAAGGGCAGCCGTTGTGCCTTGGATACTGTCTGCAAGCCCTTGACTGTAAGGCTCTTGAAGGCAAAGGCTGTATCTCATTTGTCTTAACTTTTCTGACACCATGACCAAGGCAACTTATAAAACAAAGCATTTAACTTGGAACTCACGGTTCCAGAGGGTTAGTGTTCATAACCATCATGGTGAGGAGCGGGCAGCCAGGCATAATGCTGGAGCGGTAGATGAGGGCTCACATCTGGTCCAGAAGAAGGAGGCAGAGAAAGTTAACTAGGGATGGTATGCACTTTTGAAACCCCAAAGCCCACCCCCAGTGACACACCTCCTAATCTTTCCTAAACAGTTCTACTAATTGGAGGCCATGTATTCAAATATATAAGCTTTTAGGTGCCATTCTCATTCAAACCACTACATTATCCAAGTTTATATTGGTGGAAACAGGCACTTAGCAGACTTATGCTTACTGAATTAACTCTTAATTAGTAAGTTTTCTTTGCGATTCTAGTCTACGGCCATACCACCCTAAACGCACCCAATCTCGTCTTTGTGATTCTAGGGTTTAACATGGATTATATGCTCTAAAGGGAAGTGGGGGGATATGTCAGTTGCTTTTGGGATCCAAATTCTGTTGTGAATCAGCAAACATTTTGATTCAATTGGTTATTCTGGGCACTTGACTATGAAGCATAATTACTAACTTTGGGTAGTGATTATGCTTTGGGACAGAAATGGCTTCCTCTTTAAATAAATTAACAGAAGTTAATAAATAAATGCAAAGAATCTTTTTGAGTACATGTTACATGCCAGGCACTATTACCAGCAAATTCTGTGTAATTACTTACTCCTTATTCTACAGTGTTAATATAATTCATATTTTCTGATTATGGAATTAGCACTGTGAGGTTAAGTAACTTGCCCATTTTCACACAGCAGTAAGTCTAGGAGCTGGGACTCCTACATCATCAGTTTGATTTCCAAACCTAGGCTCCCAACCATTGCTTAGAAGACCTCTGGCTTCCCCCAGCAGTAGCTGGGTTTCCCTGCCCTGAGACCTTGTGCTCTTTCCTCTGGGCTCCTGAAGGCTTGCCACAGATCCGACATTCCCATAGACACCTTCCATTCCAAAACTCTACATAAATTAATCCATTAAAAGGGCCTCATACTGTTCTACAGCAGCCCCTGTGCTTCAGCAGGAGTACTGCTGGGCACCAGTTCACTGGGTTCTCAGAAGCTCTTGGCCTTCACATCATAAGGAACTTGTTTTTCCTAATTGATTTTTAAAGCTTTTATTATTGTTGTTATTATTATTATTATTGTTATTTAGTCATTATAATTTGACCCTTCTGTCATAAGTGAACTATGTTAGCTGTGGGTCTGCTGGAGGTCAGGATTGATTCTGCTGACACCCTTGCTATATTTGTGAGCTTTGTCCCAGCTCTCCCTGCCTCCCCAGAACTCTGACCCTCCTTGTGCTTCGGTTACATAGGCTTATGCTCCCAAGCAACAGATTTGTCATTAGGCCACACCAGCATGACTTCTTGCATGCACTGCTGTCCCTGGCTTGTTCTTTCTCTTCATTACACTGCTAAGATTCTCTCATGGTGCTGCCGTGGCTGTGGTGCCCTGGTTTCCACTGCTGGATTGTATTCACAGGTACATCGGGCAAGTCTGCCAGTTACTTTGTGCATCCCTTTACCTGTGGATGACTAGTTTACCTCCTGTTTCTAGAGACCCTCCTATCATCTCCAGGAAACTGCTAACCGCTGGATGCAGGGACCACATGACGAGTGACAGCTTGTCACTCTTGTATGGAAACAGTGAGCATGGACTCAGATTGGCCTTGGCTCCCCCTTACTCCTGGCTGCTTGACTCTGTTGTCAGGGTTTGCTTTCCCTCTTCTGGACTCACTCAAACATATTCACTAGTTACTGTGGCTCTGTTGAAGCACAAGAACTGTGTTTCATGGATCTGGGGAGAAAGCTCAGTTGTTAAGGGACTTGGCACGAAAGCATGAGGCCCTGACTCCTAGCCCCAGCACCCATGCCAAAGGCCGAGTGCAGCAGCATGTGCTTCATTCTGAAAAAGCAGAGACAGGACCCCTAACCAGCCAGCCTAGCCCCATCTGTGAGCCTGTCTCAAACAAGGCAGACAGTGCCTTAGAGGAATGATACTTGATGCTGTCCTCTGGTCGTCATACGTGCATGTCCACAGACGCACAATTCCTTCACACACACACACACAAGAATTTTTCTTTTTAATTTTATGTGTGTAAGTGTTTTGCATCCAGAGGCATCATATTCCCTGGAACTGGAATTACAGATGTGTGTAAGCTGCTATGAGGGTGCTGGGAATAGAACCTGGGACCTCTGGAACAGCAACCAGTACTCTTAACCCCTAAGCCATCTCTCCAGAAAAGAATTTTTTAAAAGCATTTTATGAAAGACGGGCTTGTTCTATGGAAAGATGGCCTTTCACAGGGTGTGGTCTGCCAGGCAGCCCAGAGTGTAAGTATCCACAAGCAATTTTTAAAGTTATTATTATTATATTTGGGAGATAGGAGAGGTACTAGGAGTTAAACACAGCCTCATACATGCATTTATTTTGCCACTGAACTCCCTCCCCTAGGCTTTCTTCACATCTTATTCTTTCCCTTTCCCGTTCTCCCAGCTCGCCTTTCCATTCTGAAATCCACCCCTCTTTATTTTTTAACCAACCTCACCATAACTGTCTCTGAAGTCTTTTCCCTATTTACCAAGCCGTTCAACCCTTCTAGTCTCTACAATCAAGTCACCCTGGCTTCCCTCTGGGTCTGTAGTCCAATCTCCAGAGGCAGAGGCAGGCGGCGTCTTCAGAAGACAGTAAGGCTGGAAATCACAAGGATTCCTCCACTGGAGTACTTCCATTCACCGAGTGCACCTTGAGAGCATGCCAGGTGCCGAGCACTGTCAGCACTCTACACTTACATCTGATGTCAATGTGGGTTACTGCTGTCACCTGACCTTTCTGGTGTGGCCTTTAGCAACGCCTGTGCTAAAGGCTTTCATAGGCAGCATTTAATATGTTCAGGAGCACCAGGATCTTAACCATAGTGCTTAAGGAAGTATGGGAAATACTGAGTAAATCACATTGGCTGCATTATTTTAAAGGTAGAAGTTATCTATTATTTTTCCTTCCAATTAATCATTTATAATATAGTTTAGACTTAGTAGTTAGCTTTACACACTTTTTCTTCAACAGAGCCCTTATGTAAATGTGTAAATGCCAAACAGGACCATATGAATAAAGGTTCATGTTGAGGATTTAACAGCTGTTTGTTAATTTTCCTTCAGTCTGTTGCATCATTTGCTTGTTTCTCATGTACCAGAAAAACTTTTCTAAGTAGCTGGTCCTTTACATCTGCATCTGTGGGTCAATCAACCATGGCCAAAAGTATTTGAAAATTAATTACCTCTGCATTGAACATATACAGACTTGTTTGGTCATGATTTCTCTAAACAATATAGCATACTACTTATACAACATTTAAAGTACACGAGTTAAAGTAAAATAATGTAGAGATGGTTTGGGAGTTCCTATGTCAGTTCTGTGCACATTCTCTGCAATTTTGCATAATGGGCTGGAGAATCCACAATTTGAAGTCCACAGGGGTTCCTAAGAACAGCCCCCCTCTGTGTTTTCTGGGGAGATGCAATGCACATGTCTACTCACCCCAGAGAGGGATCCATGACAAACTAAAGTATAGATACCACTAAAGTCCAACTTTGTCAACTGTGAGTTTTATTGGGGTTACTTGCAAAGAGCATTAATGACTCAAAGACAGCTATATCACCAAAGCCCACCCCAGTATAGGTGACAGCTCACAAAGCTGGGAACCCGGAGTAAACCGCTAGCCTACAGGTTGGAGAATGTCCTTTCCAGGTGCCTCAGTTGGTCTAAATCTCTTCTAGGCAGTTCAGCTAGCCTCTGCTCCTTCCAGGCAGCAGGTCTGGTCTCAGAGTCTTCTTTGCAGCTTTTCTCCTCTGAGAATCGTCTTTGCAGCTCAGCTTTCTCGAGTCCGAAGAGGACTCTCGGCTTTTATTGCTTATTCTGGCAGGGAGGGGCCTAGTGAATCTGGTCAGTTTCAGGGACTTCCTGAAGCTATTTTGAGTTGTTTACCTTCCTACTTAAGGAACTTTCTGCAAGACAGAATGTTTCAATATTAGACAAAACTGTTATACTACACTTTAGGAACCGAGAGATAACTATAATGTCATTCTTACTCTGGAGACACCTATTAGAGAAATGTTTTCCTTTTATGTTAATATCTTTAGCAGACAGTGTTCAACTCAGGTCTGATTTTATTCAGTCACTAATGAGTTATCATGTTATTCTTGTGGGAAGCCCAGCCTAGAGTCTGATGTGTAGCAAGGCATAAACCAAAAACGTTTGCACTGGGCACACATCCCTAAGGGAAAGATGGACGGTCAAGCACAAGGCAGAAGGCCTTCAAAAACAGTGACAAGTGCTGAGTAGAACAGAAAAGTCACAGAGAGCATGCGGGTGGGGGGGGGGGCTCTCTAACATCTGATCAGAGACCTAGAGGATGTGAATGAGCCATGAGAGTACTGGGAAAGGTCTTCCAAGCAGGTGGGACAGTGAGCATGAGGCCCAGAGGTGGCCTGGCTTGGGTTACTTGAAGTAATACCTTAGCCTGATAATATCTTAGTCTGAGACCGGACACATCCTTGTCCACCCCTCTGTTTTTCAGGTATCCGAGATGTTTCTAAATGGAGTGAGAAGACAAGGAAACCTCTGGAAGCCCTATATGGATATGACTACTTTGCCAAAACCTGTGAAAAGTGGGTGGATGGCATAAACCAGTTTAAACATCTGCCAGATGGTAAGTTGCATGGACTAATGGTTCCTTTGCTAATTGCAGGGGGTGCTTGAGTTCCTCCCTTGATTTCCCAGCATTCCTCCATAATGAACAAGCACACCCATTATCCTCACACTGTTAATGTGTGAACAGAGACAGAGGATTTTGTACAATAAAATGAGCCCTTGTGTAATAAGTGTAAATGCCAGACAGGACCATGGGACTAAAGGTTCATGTTGAGGCTTTAACAGCTGTCTGTCCATTGTCTTCAGTCCTTCACATATGTGGCAGCACAAATCTGCCCTCCAGAAACCTGTTTCTACTTTCTGATTGAAGAACAGGTCATTAGAAGGAGAGCCACCATACAGACAATTTTTTTCTGTCTGGATGGGCCCACCCTCTCCTCATCTAGGACAAAGCAGGAGGAAGTCTCTGCCATGTTCTTCAGCCCCAGCAGAGCCAGAGAGGGGGAAAGACTGCTCAATTCTCTTTTCAACTTCAGAGCCAAGTAATACATAACCTTAGCTGTGGACAAGTCCCTCCTTTTGTTTATCTTAAAAACTAATAAGATTCCCAGTAAGAATTAACATCTTTAAGCAGAATTCAAAGTTTATTTTTATATAGCTATATGCTTAGTCAGCTTTCTGGCACTATGACAAACACCTGAGATAATCAGCTAACTGAGAGGAAAGGTGTATTGTGACTTAGTTCTGAGGGTTCTGGTCCATAACTAGGGAGACCCAGTGCCTCTAAAGCTAGGTAGTGCAATGCATCATGATAGGAGAGCTTGGCAAGGCAAAGCCATTTACCTCATGGGCAAAAGGAAGAAGAGGGATAGACTGGAGTCCACCTCTCCTCCAAAGGCACACCACCATGTCCTATGAGCTTTCACTAGGCCCCACCTCTTAAAGGTCCCACCACTCTCTCCTGCTTCATGCTGGGAAACAAGCTCTAACATGAGAACCTGGGGGAACATTAAGATCCAAACTGTAGCAAGCTGCTTGGAATCGATGTTTCCCCTCTCTTCTTTTTAGTTTTGTAATTGCTACAAAAATAGAGTAGCTGAGATTGAATGTTGGAGACATTGTTACAGAATGCTTGTATTTGAAGGGACAGTTGATCTATTAGGTAATCCTTTCCAGCATGAATCATCTGTAACGTCAAAGCTTTTGCAATGAAAGGGACTTTGGAAATGTTACGTGTCTGGTTTAAGTTCAAAGGAGCAAATCCATGCCTTATAATGATCCTGTTGAAATGCAATTTTCATCCATAGTAACAAGTCCTAAAAATGTGTTTCTTTGCATCTTAAAACAACAGAAAAAAATGCCATTAAACCAACGAGTCAATTCTCCACGAAAGCGAGCACACTGAGAAGTGTAGTCTGGTGCTTTCTGGGAAAAGGCCATGAAGAGATGGAAATAATGTTACACTGACAGTTCAGAAGCACATCCTAACATAGAGAACCCAATGTGGAAATCATCTTAGAGCAGGACTTAGTAGTTCATCTCCCTTCTGTATTTATTGATCTGACAGGAGTCTTTTGTTCATGGCTGTGTGCTCAGGTTTACAGATACTTGGTCCAGCATGGGTGATTGCACAGCTGTGGAGTCATCAGGGCCTGAATTTGAGGTCTTGGCTTGCTGTCAGAATGGCTTTGGGCAGTGACTTGATTTCTGGAGAGTATACTAATACATACCTCATTAAGTTTTGAGGAGATTAAGTGAGGTAATATACATTCAGCTATGGTAGGGTGCTATGAACAGTTATTATGAAAATGCTACTACTGTGATTTTTAAAAAAGCACCTAATTTACAAATGTTTGTCAATGTTGAATGAGTTAAAATGTAAGAGCTAGCCTGGCATGGTGGCATGTGCCATTAATCACAGCACTTGGGAGGCAGAGACAGATGACTCTGTGAGTTTGAGGCCAGTCTGCTCTACATAGTAAGTTCCAGTCCATCCAGAAATACACAGCGAGATCCTGTCTCAAAATTTAAAAAAAAAAAATGCAAGTGCTGTAAGCATTTCCCTAGCCTGCATTACCATATACAGCAGGCAGTTGTAGGGCTGGCCTTCATCAGCATCACCCCACACAGCTGGCAAGTGTGTGCTGTTCAAAGCAGTGCTTCTCCGGTCGATGGGTCACGCTCCCTTGGCGGAGAGCAATCACCAGCTGGAAAGAAGGGCGGGGGCTTGGTGTCTGGTGGGCAGTGCCATACGCACTGGCTCTCAGCCTGCTCAGTTATATAGCACCATCCTTTTGGAACAGGCAGAGATGGGAGGGCAGTGGAGGAAGGAGCTAGTTGCATGGATACCAGAACCTTCAATACTGCTGACCATATGTGTAACCTCACAATAGCCACAGGCAACTGTGATTACTGCTGTTGGAGACTGAAGCTCTACCTGGCTAGGAGCCACCAAGGTGTGGGACTCGGGGTGTCCCTAAAGCATAAGCACTGAAGAGTAACTTGTGTCCTGTGTACAGGCTAACTTCACGGTGAAGTCTCTGCATCCTGAGGACTGGCTAGGCCTTCAGTCATTGAGACACAACCTCAAAGGAGGTTTCAAACGCCAGGCATCATCAACATGACTGACAGGCGGCCTCTTTATAATATAAGACTTGTGAAGTTTTTTTTTATTTGTTTGCTTATTTGATTTTTCTACCAGTTTACATGAATAATGAATTCAAATCAGGAAAAGCTGTTTATTTACTAGTAGAGCATCACAACAAGCAAGCAGAGCACAGAAATAGAAGAGGGAAGACTGAGAATGTTAAAACTGAAAGGAACCCCAGGTCGAACTAGCTTCCCCTGACAGGGAAGCCACGATGCAGAGGGACTCGTGTGTCAGCGGATTGCCAAACCCCTGAAAAGGCTTACCTTGACTTGAGTTCTGGAGGTTCCCAGTCATGAGAAAGCAAGCGCTCTCGTTGTTTTGTGTCTATGGTAAGGTACGGGGAGCACTTGGTGGAGCAAAGCTGGTCACATCCCAAGTCAGAGAGTGAAAAGGGAACAGAGAGTAGGCTAGGGTTCCACAGTCCCCTCAGGTGCATGTCCCCATAGAGAAGGATGTCTCACAAGGCCACACCCTGAGGCTTTCACCACTTGCTAATGGCACCTCTCTGGGGACCAAGCCATTGGTGCCTTTGGGAAGCATTGAGGACCGAAATCTAGCAGTGCGTCTCTGCAGAGTTCTGCTTCTTCCCTGCGGAGAGACTGTGCTAAGGGGATTCCCTGTGCTCTTTTCCCTCAGGTAACATCTGTCGGCACTTGCTGCCCCTGGTCCGGTGCCCAACCCTCATCGTGCACGGGGAGAAGGACCCATTGGTCCCCCGTTTTCACGCTGACTTCCTTCACGAGCATGTGAAAGGGTCACGGTGAGTCTCGTCACAGCCTCGTCGCCTGAAAGCCTCCGAGGAAGTGAGAGGAGCCATAGGAAGGAAAGAAGTGGGAGAAGTGGGGGTCAGGGTGCATGCTCCTCATTTGGAAAGAGAGTGCCACTGGGCACAGAGGACCTGAGCTCTGGGCCCTGGAGATCCTCAGCAGAGGGACTCAGGTAAATGTTTTTGAGCACAGTGAGGCCATATGTTCCTGGGCACTGAGACTGTGAACAGAGGTGGAACTTTTCTGTCCCGACCTCCTAGTCCCAAATGAACATACAAAAGCTTATATTAATTACAAAATGCTCAGCCAATAGCTCAGGCTTATTATTAAGTAGCTTTTACATTTCAGTTAACTCATTTCTGTTCATCTATATGTTGCCACGTGGCCCATGGCTTTACCAGTCCTCTGCTTTACCAGTCCTCTGCATCTTGCTTCCTGGGCAGCTCACATGCATCTCTTCCAATTCCACCCTCTTTCATCCCTGTTTGATTGTCCTGCCTAACTTTATCCTGCCTTGCCATAGGCCAAACAGCTTTATTATTAACCAATGAGAGTAATACATATTCATAGCATACAGAAGGATCATCCCAGAGCAGAGCTCTGTAACAAGAGAAACACTTTAGATTTGTAACACCATTGGTAACAATTCAATATACCTTGGGATTTTTATCTCATTTAAAAACAATAACAATAAAAAACACCCATAAAACCAAACCAAGAAAGCAAATTGTCCTTTGCTAGCCACCCACATGGATATAGTTATATTCTATATTTAACTCTGAAGCCTTTTTGTCACTAAAATTATATTGTGAGCTCTACAAGTTGTATCCATCTTAAATATGTACTCAGCCCCTCCATGCACCTGATTTTGATGCCTGTGGAGGGCCAGTACTGCTTAGCAAACTGAGCACCTAGCTCAGGTCCCTGTCCTCAAAGTCCCTGAAGCCAAGTGGAGAAAGCTGGTACCCAAGCTGCTCCAATGACTGTGAGAGAGTCTTTTCAGTGATTCTTAACAGTGGGCTTCTCTGGGGACTTGGAAGTAAGGGGAGGGAGTGTTTCTTATTCCACAGCAAAATACAATTTCATAGTAATTCATGTATCTCCCTATATATGAAGTGTGTGTGTGTGTGTGTGTGTGTGTGTGTGTGTGTGTGTGTGTGTGTAATTCTTTACATTGAAAGGACATTCTTCATCCTACCTAGTCCTTCTGTAGCAGTTCAGCCATGAGTTAAACAAGCGTGAGAACATGATCAGGAATAGCAAGCACTTTGGGAAGGTTGTAAAGTAAGTGGAGAATGAAGGTAGAAGTTAGATTAAAATTACACTGTGAGTAAACTAGAAGTTCATAGTAAATAAGGCGTTTTCAAACCTGACTTTTATAAAATTATAATAATACTAAGCCATGGTTGTGGCACAAAATCCAAATAGTTTATTTTCTTATTAATCTCCCAGATGTTTTCTGTTCATCTCAGTCTCTGTTTTATTTTAATTTTATACATTTAGAGTATGCAATGTGGTATTTCCATGTAGAATTTTGTATTTTAAAGATATTTTACATAAGATATCTAATTATACTTCACTACAGACTTTGGAAAAGTAGTTCCATTTTTAGATGAGATTTCAAGGCTGGTCGATGTCAAACAGTGTTTTAAGCTATTTAGTTAGTAAATGACAAGTTCTATGTTTTCCTAAACAGAACTTTTTCACCACAGCACAAATGTCTCTCATGAATGTCATAATGACACAGCCCATGCTGGGTGGCCCAGCTAACTGTCTTCTGCTTCAGAAATGACTGGTTTTTACACACTGACCCTCATGATAAATGCAGAGGCTTCCCTTAAGGAGCCAGGCTCACTAAATGTCTGTCTGTGAGAAAGTTTAGCCTAGGAATTCTGTTCCAAACCTATCTCCTAGCAACAGAATACATCAATAGTGGAGGAAAATGTGCCCTTCCTGTACATTTGGTGGAAATCATTTTCTCATAACAGTATTCATTGGAACTCACGGGTTGGAGGTAAAATGTTATTAGCAACAGTTCTCTAAAACCGGTCTATGTTTCCCACTCCTTTTGCTAAAAAAGCACTTTATGTTGGTTGGGTACCTGCAAGACCATGGCTGGCTTCTTTGGGAGCCCCCAGAAGGAAACTGGATTCCTAGAGCTGCAAATCCCTGCTGTGCATCTGCACCAGGCCTTCTGAGGCAGGACAGCTGCACACCTTGCCAGGCACATCTTTAACTACACTTAAAGGCATAGTCTGTCCCCACAGGATTTTGCCAAGAAGCCCTTACTGTATATGAGTCACACCATGCTGCTTTTACCTCCTTGGAAGGAGACCAGCCTCCAGCTTTGCTAATCTGTCTCCTTTCTTTCTCTTTTCTCTCTTCATAGGAGAGGAATCATAGTCTCTTAAAAGCAGGGAGGCCTTTGTTTTAACTTTTTAGTTTTAGGCAGCTGCATTTCTCCCACTGAAACTCTTGTATAAAACCCACAGTCAGAGCTGTTCTGATTGCAGCAGTAAGGTGAACAGACCCTGTCTTTGGAGTCCTCGTACCCTGATCCTAGTTTCAGGGCTCCCGTGTAGCCAGAAGGACTCTCCCTCCTGGCTGAAGGACTTCCCGCCTGGCTTGTCTGCCAGCCTCTGGGGGGACAATCCCCATTACAAAGCCTACAGCAGCCCCAGCAGCCATCCGAGAAATCTTGTCGAGCGCTAATTGGTACCCATCTTACTCTAGAGCTGGTGTGAAGACTGCTCTGGGAGGCAACGGAGCTAGACTGACTGGAGAAGCTGTGACTTCACAGCTAGGTCAAGTCACTGTGCTGTGGCCCAGCTAGCTTGACTACCACAACAAAGTTTGAGAGTTCCTGCCTTAGCTGTCTTCTAAGAAAGACTTTCAACTCTGCAGTAATGTCAGAGCATCCCCCATGCAGCCACCAGCTCTCCATGTTCAGTTCAGAGTTCACTAAACGACATGACATTCTCAACACTTTATTATAACTCAGGGCCCCTGCCACTGGACATGATTTTGCACAACTGTAGGCTGTAAGTGTTCTGAACATATTTAAGGTAGGTAAGGCTAAAATGTAGTGTTTGGCAATATAGATCCATTCGGTGCATTTTTATTTAGAGTATTTTATTAATTTTTTTTCTGCATTGCTGAGGGTGAGGTCAGGGCCTCACACATGCTAAATATGCATTCTGCCACTAAGCAACACCCTCAGCCTCAAGACTGTCAACATGTGGTAGCTTAATGAAGACATCACCCCATTACAACACAAACATCCATCTTCTCTCAGTTCTAGAGATGTTGACAGAGAAAGTCTCTTCCGAGTCCTCTCTCCCCAGCTCATAGACGGTCTTTTCTCTGATCCTGTGACCCAATTGGCTTTCCTTATAAGGACAGTAGTCATAATGGATCAGGATATGGCCACATTTTGAACTAAGTCACTTCTTTAAAGATGCTGAGATTTCAGCATGTGATTGGGGTTGGGAGAGCAGTTCATTCCATGAAAGTGTTTTTGAGAAGGCTTCAGATCTCAGGAATTAACAGAAGCCGGAGTCTGCATTTCAGGTCATGGCTCAATATCTCCCGCTCAGGGAAGCCTCCTTACCCCATGGCCGCATGTCTCCTTATTCATACCTTTTAAAACAGCTCTCAGCATGTGATTTCATTTTTATCCTATAGAATAACTCTCTCAGGATATAACCTAACACATCTTACAGGCTCTGTGCATGTCGGGGGAGGGAGGAGGAAGGAAGGGCAAAGGCAAAAAGCTTGTGTACAAACAGGAGCAGAGAGCACCCAGAGGGCAGAGTCTGTAGTGGCCCAGCTGCATGGTGAGTCAGGCTTGGGAGCCAGGCAAGTGGGAGAGAATGGGGTAAAGTCAGTGTGTACAGAGCGACATTGCAGGTTTGTGTCAACCAAGAGGAAAAGCCAAGGGAGTCCTGTCTGGAAATGAAAGGATGCTGAGTGGCATTTGTGGCCTTGAGATTAAGAGCACTGGAGGGTTATTTGACTGTGCACCCTTGAGCATTGCAAGTGACATCGCTAGCTTGTTTTCTGGTATGTAAATTGTGGGTGCAAGATAATAATAATAATAATAATAATAATAATAATAATAATAATAATAAAACTCAACCTGACTTTCAACAGATTGAACCAGCTCCACTCACATTAGGGAGGTAATTGGTCTTATGGATTCAGGTCTTAATGTCATTCCCAAACACACTCAAGAATAGCCGCAATAATTTCTGACCAAATATCTGGGCACCCTGAGATCCAGTCAAACTGATATGTGAAATTAACCATGTCTGTGGGGAAGGCTTGACAGGCACATGCTCCCCTTCACAGGGTTCTTGGGCTTGGGTGACTTTCCTGGAGAATATGTTAACAGAGTAGAGGTGAGGGGCAGAAATGGTCATCTAGGTAGGTGGTGGCTAGTTATTGTGTTCTTGTCTGGGTCACTGAAGGGAGGGAAGGCCTCTTTCTGGGGCTTCCTTGGCTCGACAAGTCTAGCCACCAATGTAAAATGTCTTGGCCTACTGGAACAGTGTGAATTGGAACATGATGGTGAAATCGGTTCACAATAGCAACTGAATTCCTTTTCTCAGTCTTATAGCAAAGCAAGACCAGGGGCCCGGGGAGGGGGAGGCTGATGGACGGCACCCACTGCGGCCTGTACTTTTATACCACATCTTGGGAGCTCCCACTTCATGCCCAGGTGATTCCTACCCTGGAGAAGCTTAGCAGAGGAAAGCAGTCAGCTAGGCTCCCCTGTGGCCACAGGGTTAGCTCCAAATAGAAGTCACTAGCACTTACTAGGCTGAGACCTTTTCCATTCAAAACGAGCAAAGTCTGACCCTTTCCAGGCAAATCTTAAACACTTTTTTTTTTTTTTTTTTTGCAAAACTTTTCTTTTTTTTTTTTTTTTTTTTTTTTTTTTTTTTTTTTTTTTTTTTTTTTTTTTTGGTTTTTCGAGACAGGGTTTCTCTGTGTAGCTTTGCGCCTCTCCTGGAACTCACTTGGTAGCCCAGGCTGGCCTCGAACTCACAGAGATCCGCCTGGCTCTGCCTCCCAAGTGCTGGGATTAAAGGCGTGCGCCACCACCGCCCGGCGCAAAACTTTTCTTAAGAGAAAAAAAAAATCTTCTAGTTGGAGATTTTATGTCAACCAATAAATTGTGCTTCTCCAGTCAGAATATTCATTAATTTGCTGTGCTTAGTTAGAACCTTCCTAAGGACTTACCAATAGCAGACATCAATGAAATGCCTACAGCCTGGTGCCTGTGGATGCATCCTTTCTTTTGGTCCCCATGATAATCTCAGGGGTACCATTACTACCCCAGGGGAAAAATGGTGGTTCTGGGTGAGGGTGTAACTGCTGGTGCTGAGGCCATGCTGCCTCCATAAAGCCCTTCACCTGCTGATGACCCCCTCAGTTTATGTCCATCTCTCACTGCAGTTGGTAGGCCCCTGCTGGATCCCTGGTGTCTCAGCAGGTTTGGGAAAGCATTGTCCTCCACACACCAGACCTGGTGGAAGTGCTCCATGGGGGGCGTGCCCTTCCTGGCCCCCCACCCCCGCACCACAATGATTTAATTTCTTTCCCATGAGTGAGACATGATTATAAGATTTAAGAAAAGAAACCTCCCTTGAGATGTCTGCCCCCAACCCCCGAACGTCTAGTAGGGTAATGTCTGGGACGTGGTACCTTCTAGCTTCACTAGTAGGAAGGAGTTTGTAGTTCTCACATCTTTGCCTTTTCCTTAGGACTTTCTCAAAAGCATGATCAATAAAAGAAGACATTCTGTTTCTGTTATGGGCAGCCAGGTTTGCATGGCTTTGGAGGTCTGCCATTGAAGGATGAGGAAAAGGTCTGAGTAGCCTGTTGCTGTCCCGTTTCATGATGGACAAGAGCCCCTCACAAAGAATCAGCTGCTCTTTTGGTTTCCAGAGAAAGCAGAGGTGCATACAGTCCTCCTGGCTGATTTATTGGTTCAGAACATATTGAGGATTTTGTCACATTCATTCAGAGTAAAGAGGCTAGAGCACATTCATTATGGCCTTGTCACTAGTGGACAGCTCTCACAGTTTTGTTTGAAAGCTGAAAATAGTGAGACTGGAGACAAAATGGTGCCAGTGAGATCAGCGTCTCATGCCACCATGACTGAGAGGGGCTGGATCAGCAGAGCTGAGATGACCACCAGGTTTACCCCAAATTTCACAGCTTCTTCCCAAGAGATCTAGACTTTCCAAAGATGCCACATGCTGTAGGACCCCTCCCTTGCAAATAGGAACTTTAAACCTATAGGGCTCCTTCACGATGTTGCACGAATCCTAAGTGGTCTTATAATAAAAACCCGGAGCCAGGTATTGGAGTAAATGCTGAAAGACCAGAGAGACAAAGGGACAAGCCTCAGCCATTTCTCACCTCGCCAACTCCACGAATCCTCTGAGTCAATGTCTCTGAGTCCTCAGCCGAAAGGGTCTTTAGTTCCTGTCTTATCAAGCCTTATATGCTTTTCTCCGCCCAGCCATCTCACTTTCCATCTCAGCCTTCCTAGTGCTGGGATTAATAGCACGTGTGCTTCCCACTGATTTTCCTGGAGAACGTGATTGTTTGAAAGCCACTCATTGAGGCATGTGCACCCTTTTGTTGTCTGGGTAAGAACTGGGTCAGCAGCAGAGCGGCTGCCTGGCCAAGTGTTTATGCCTGGCTATTCTGGTCCTGTTCCCATGAGGATTCACAGCAGGTTCCACAGAGAGTGAAGGGAGGATTTACACTAAGAACTTGGAAAGGCATCAAGGCGAACAATTTTCTCCATACTTTCATCAGCCTATCCATCCGTCCATCCATTTATCTATCCACCTACCCATCTACTCATTCACCCACCCATTGTCCATCCAAGCATCCACTAAAGCACCCACCTGGCATCTAGAGTAGTTCTCTCATATTTTTAATATAAAGAATCTTATGTTTGTTTTCCCAAGATCTAGAGATGTTGTAGAAAGACTTTAGGCTTCACTGTATAGCTAAAAGAAAGTGGGGGTGGGGGATTCACAGCTGGCCTCTTCCTGTCCTCCTTGGGAACAGGGAAATTGTAGAAACAGGGCGGAACAGATGACAGCTGAGTTGGCTATCTCTAGATGTACTGCTGGATGGTTAGGTCAGGGTTTCTTGGCCTCTGAACCCAGCTTAATTCAGATAAATGGTTGCAGTTTGACCTACACTTATCCTTCTGTTACCCCAGCATCCTGGGAAACAGTCTTTTCTGTATCCTAAAAACTGCAGCTTTGAGCATCCCTGCAGCCCACGCCTGTGTGTGCAGCTGGATCATCTTTGGGACTAGTATAACTCATCCCTTCTAAGAAGCACCTTTTAAACTTAACAGATTCTGGTTATTATTAATAGCATTATTAATCTTGCAGCTGCATCTAAAAGATACCCTCAGTATATATTTCCTTTTCACTTAATTTTCTTGGTCCTCCCACCCCGGCCATTGGCATAGCTGAGTTGCAGGAGGCCCAGCGTCTTCTGAGGGTGACTGCCTCCGTCCCCCCCCCCCCCCCCCCCCGCCCCAGAGTCCTCCCAATTGCCTGCTGAGTTGCTAAGAGCCATCATCAGTACTGCTGCTGAAAGACCAGAGAAGCACAGAATGCATCATTGGAATTTTGCTCCAGTCTAGTTTTTCTGACACCCAGTTGTCACTGTAGACAGCATGGCTTGAACTTGAGCTTGCCTCCTAAAAGCTCTGTTTAAACTCTATCTCTTTACTTTAGAAGCTAATAGAGAATATTTTTTAATTGTATTTTTTTAAATTGCAAATCAGTCTCCTCTTTGACCCACATCAGATTAAATGCAAGAAGCCTTTCCAGGACAGAGGGGTCCACCAAAGACACGATGTGACAGCTGCAGAAGTAGCTCTGCACACATGGCTGCAGATGAACCCCGTTACCCACCCCGAATTCCTGAGGCATTTTTCCATCCGTCTGCTGGCTGTAGTCGGGCTTAACTTGCTCTGTAGTCTGAACACGACAGGGTGGCTTGGAACCTTGCATGGAGGCTGCTGTTGGCTAAGAATTCCTGTTAGGCTTGCCCACTATGCAGATACCAAAACAAAAACAAAAAAAACCTCATCTGTGCAACTCAGTGAATTCTGACCATTTCTCATTTTTGTCATCTTTCCTTTTAAGGGTTAGGATTGCAGTCAGTCACTATCATCCCTGTTATTTTTGTAATCATTTCTCCAATAAAATCATTTCCCCAATTTAAAAACACATTTGTTAACAATGGATTTTTAAAGTAATTACCAGGTCACCTTCTCCACTGTTTTCGAGTCAAACCATGTTTGTTACCTGATGCAATCCCAAACATATTGTCACTGTTCAGTGATGGCTGTATGGTCTAATTCTGGGGTGGTCAGAATTTCCTTAAGGAGTTCACCCTGGCATTCACATTCATGGGAAGCTGATATAGTTCTGAAAGATTCTCATGAAGTGTTGACGAAATGGAAGCATTTTAAATATGTACCACTGATCCAAAGCTGGGTTTGTTTCTTAGGTTGCACCTAATGCCCGAAGGCAAGCACAACCTGCATTTACGTTTTGCAAATGAATTCAACAAGTTGGCAGAAGACTTCCTACAATGAAATTACAGGAAGCCTTTGGATTCTGGGTGATGCTGTACTAAAGGATCATGTCCTTGTCTGTTACCAGGATGCTCCAGAATGCCTTCCTTGCCTTTCTCCTCAGTTCACACACCTGCCAGGCTTTCTATACTCCCCATGATATGACTCTATGCAAGCAGGAAAAATAGCATACCCAAATCAGGTTATAGTTTTAATTGCTGCAAAGAATGAGTGTTGGCATTTTTAACATTAAATTATGAGTTTTTATCATTGTCATAAAAATAAATTTTTACCATAATTTATTTTCAAATAAATTTTATGCGAAACCTTTGTAGTGTTCACATTTACTCAAAAGCTGGGTTTGTCTTAGTCCTTTATTCATAGGATATCTGGAATGCTAACAATTAAAATATTAAGCAAAAGTCCCCAGTATTATCCCCTGAAGCTTTGTATTTCCATTTAAAAAAAAAAAAAAAAGAATGTCAAGGAGAAAAGGACCACAGGTATTATACACATGCTTTTTATTAGTATAGATATCTTAGACAATACTGAAATCTTGAAAGGAGGTCCACACTATTACGTCAACAGTGAATTTCTGACAGAGGCAAACTGAGCACCATAATTTACAAGTAGAAAGACCATGCTGGAGGACAACAGAAGTTCACTAAGGGTGCACAAGGTATCTGACAAGTTCTTAAGCCTCATCCTCACCCTCCTCCTCCTCGAACTCGCCCTGCTCATCAGCCGTGGCATCCTGGTACTGCTGGTATTCAGACACCAGGTCATTCATGTTGCTCTCTGCCTCGGTGAACTCCATCTCGTCCATGCCTTCACCCGTGTACCAGTGCAGGAAGGCCTTGCGCCGAAACATGGCAGTGAACTGCTCCGAGATGCGCTTAAACAGCTCCTGGATGGCAGTGCTGTTGCCAATGAAGGTGGCTGACATCTTGAGGCCTCGAGGAGGGATGTCACACACGGCCGTCTTCACGTTGTTGGGGATCCACTCCACGAAGTAGCTGCTGTTCTTGTTCTGCACGTTGAGCATCTGCTCATCCACTTCCTTCATGGACATGCGGCCACGGAAGATGGCGGCCACGGTCAGGTAGCGGCCATGGCGCGGGTCACAGGCGGCCATCATGTTCTTGGAGTCGAACATCTGCTGAGTGAGCTCAGGCACCGTCAGGGCTCTGTACTGCTGGCTGCCCCTGCTGGTCAGAGGTGCGAAACCTGGCATGAAGAAGTGCAGGCGTGGGAAGGGCACCATGTTCACAGCCAGCTTGCGCAGGTCTGCATTCAGCTGGCCTGGGAAGCGCAGGCAGGTGGTCACCCCACTCATGGTGGCTGACACCAGGTGGTTGAGGTCGCCATATGTGGGTGTGGTCAGCTTGAGGGTGCGGAAGCAGATGTCATACAGGGCCTCGTTGTCAATGGAATAGGTTTCATCTGTGTTCTCTACCAGCTGGTGCACAGAGAGGGTGGCATTATAGGGCTCCACCACAGTGTCAGAGACCTTGGGTGAGGGCATGACACTGAAGGTGTTCATGATGCGGTCTGGGTACTCCTCCCGGATCTTGCTGATGAGCAGGGTCCCCATGCCTGAGCCAGTGCCTCCCCCCAGTGAGTGGGTCAGCTGGAAGCCCTGGAGACAGTCACAGCTTTCAGACTCCTTCCTCACTACATCCAGGACAGAGTCCACCAGCTCAGCACCCTCTGTGTAGTGGCCCTTGGCCCAGTTATTTCCTGCACCACTCTGGCCTGCAAGAGAGAAAGAGAACATTAGACACTTAGGAAGTCAGGATGATGTCATTGGACTATGAAGAAAAGGAAAAACTGGCCTTAGAAAACATTCAGTAGTCTTTTGTATACACTGTATTATGGGAAGGAAATATTGTCAATGTATCAAGGACCTCAAAAACCCTGGGGATCATAATAAAGTAAGAATCAGGTTGAAGCGGACACATTTTATCAATACTCAATAGCGTCTAAAATTAAACATAGGGAACATTCTGTAAATACTCTTAATTAGGTATAATTAAAGAGGCAGGGCAAGGCAGCTCTAAGCACTTGGTCTACACCTTGGTCACTGAAGTGGTTACCTGGCATCACTGGTCCTTTGAAATCACCTGCAGCCTGTGATGCCCTCTTTGAAGACTTTCATCCTCTCCACCCCTCCCCCTAGAGGCTGCTCCTCATGGAGGCCTTTAACAGCCCCTACAGGCCCACACTCTCCTCTGAGCTGTCAGGAGTGAACAGACATGATATTGTCAGCTGCATAGGTGAGGTCAGGACTTGTGGTCTGTGGACACAGGCTCAGCTGGGCACTGCACACAGAACTATAAAGCCCATGGCTGCTGGGAAGGGGTGAGTCATTTGGCCAGCTCTCATGGAGCATGACGACTTACCAAAAACAAAGTTGTCTGGCCTGAAGATCTGGCCAAAGGGTCCTGACCTCACTGAGTCCATGGTGCCCGGCTCCAGGTCCACCAGGATGGCCCGAGGTACATATTTGTTGCCTGTGGGGACAAGAGCTGACTTACAACTGGGCTTGGCAAGGAGATAGATGTAGCAGCATAATTCATTACAGAAATCCCAGCATTGAGACAAAGGAAGAAAAAGAAAATGGAGACGTGAAGCATGCAGAAGTCTTCGGGAGCTACAAAGTGCTCTTATTTATTTAATTAATTAATTTATTAATTTAATTTTTGCAGTTGACATTTTAAATGAGATGCAAAAAGCATTTCCTTGTTGTTTGCATGCTCCTAGGCCACTTCCTCTGCCACAGTATGGAAAGCAAGGCTGACATCCAAACCCTTACCAGCAGCTTCATTGTAGTACACATTGATTCTCTCCAGCTGCAAATCGCTGTCACCATGGTAACTGCCAGTGGGGTCGATGCCATGCTCATCGCTTATCACCTCCCAAAACTGAAATGCAGAGATTCACATCATGCTTAGGATCCTAACTGTCACCCAGAAAGGCCTTGGTCAGACAGCAGGCAAGAGCCTAGAGAGCTGCTGACCCCTATGTGTTTGGGCATCAGCTGCCGCAGAGGGTCTTGGAAATGCGCAGTGAGTGCATCATCGGCCATATTATGACCACAGATGCAGGGCTGGGAGGAGCCTGGAGAAGGAAGTGGGCACAGCAGATCCCCTGTCAGAACTGCAGAGGCAGCAATTCTCTCACTCCAGACAGGGTTGAATGTTACTACATACAGGCTGATGGATGGGGAAGGGCAGAAGGGAAGATCAGGTGCCCCGCCCCCTGCGCCTCATGGGATCAATGACTCCTGGCACAGACTTCATGGCAGCTTTCAACAGCCCGGTTTTATACCACTGACCTACATATTGGCTTTCGGGTATTAACCTCGGGCAAGGAATGTTCGGGATGGGCAGCACAATCCTACAAGGGGCGCCTGTCAGCCCTGGAAAAAGCTGGCCATCCTGAGGATACAGCCTCCATTGTGACTTGGCAGCAGGAAAGGGGGTGGGGAGGTTGGGTGGGCAATATGGCGGTGTTGAAAGAGACCACGTCCTTGTACAGGCGCCTGCCCACACCCATGTCGAATGCCCACTGCTGCCTCCAGGCTGCAGTCGGGTCTCACAGCCCCAATTCTGTGCAGTCACCTGCCGTCTCACAGAGGAGAAAGACGACCAGTGCATTTTATGTAAAGTCTAGAGGAGCACTTGTAAGGGAATTCGTCTAACACCCTCGTCTGTTGGCCCAAAGAGACGCCTCTGTAACATCTGTCAACCCAATGACACTGCATTTTTTTCATTCATATGACAGGCAAAAAAAAAAATAATAATACAAATTACATTTGACATGAGGTTCTCAACACATGTGACAGTGACCCCCGACCCAAATTTCAGAGACGAAAAAACCCAGAGGAATGTCACCTGCATCCCGCAGAAGGGTTGTGTCCCAAAGCAATGTAATGGACCTTGATTTAAGACACCTTGTCACGCTCATCGTGGCAGGTTGAACGGCTTTCAGGACCTGGCCCGCCCAGTAGCCAGCGGCAGAATGCGTCACTGGCCCGGGCTCCTCTGGGTTCCCTAGGCTCGACTCAGTCCCCGGCTCACAACCTTGGGACCCCCGCCCGAGCGGGCGACCCCACCCACTCCCTCCCCAGGGGCGCGCCCACCTTAGCGCCGATCTGGTTGCCGCACTGGCCCGCCTGGATGTGCACGATCTCGCGCATGGTGCTGGCTGCAGAAGGGGTGGAGGCGCTGGCCCTCGGAGCAGTGCGTAGACAGAGGGCTGGGGAGCGCAAAGACCTGTCGCCCTCCCCCAGCTCAGCCTTTTATACCCGGGGACCCGCCCGGCCGCGCTGACGTTATGGGGGCAGGGCCGGGGGGCGGAGCGGCAGGGACTGCGGCACCGCGAGAGGGAGCCGGGGCGCGGTGCGAGGTGCAGGGGTGCTCGCCCTGCATCCAGCGTCCTAGCGCTACTGCGTCCCTTGGCTGATCCTGCTGACTTCCTCTCAGCGTCCACCTGAGGTGCTCCGCCACTGGCGAGACCTTTGGGTCACACTATGGTTCCTCTCCCATCTCGCCCACTCCCCACCACTCAGGGACTAGAGATTGGGGTCCCGCCTCCCCGGTAGCAGGACAGGAGTCGCTTCGCTCTTGGAACTGAAGATGCATGCTTCACTAGATGTCAGTCTGAGCAGGGGCAGGTGCAGCTGGCCGAATCTGTTATCAGAACTCCACTGATAACAGGTCACAATGATCAAGTGCCAGGAGTCATTGATCCCACGAGGCGCAGGGGGCGGGGCACCTGATCTTCCCCTCTGCCCTTCCCCATCCATCAGCCTGTATGTAGTAACTTGGGCTGATGACTGAACTCCCTCCCCATTCTCTTTCAAGTCTGGGTGGTAACTGAGGGGAGTTAAACTACAGACTGGGTACCG